AATGTGATATAAGAATTGTCAAAGAGAATAATGTAGGGGCAATGATTGTAATTTTGTAAAATGTGTGAGGGTATACTTGTCATTTGAAATTACTTAAATAGACACTAATTACTATGCTTTAAAAAAAACATTTTTAGAAGCATGGTAGACCCTGTTTTTGTTTTTCTACCATCATTGGCAATAGTTTTTTTTTTTAAACACTTTTTTTTGTTTTACCAAACATATTTGATATTCCAGATATTTTAATAAGCCATTTTTTTAAAGCACCACAATTACAAACCAACCCTTCCTATCTTTAACTCTCTCTCTCTCTTCTCCCCCTTCTTCGTCCTTCTCTTTCTTATTTCTTCTTCATACTTCTCTCTCTCTCTCTCTCTCTCTCTCTCTCTCTCTCTCTCTCTCTCTCTCTCTCTCTCTCTCTCTCTCTCTCTCTCTCTCTCTCTCATCTTTTTCTTCATTTTGTATCATAGATTTATGAGTGTTTTTCTCTTTCTTAAGAACGATTGAAATTTTAGGTTTTTTATTTTGTTTTTTATAGTAGTTGAATTTGAGGTTTGGATTGGTTTGGATGCATGAATTTTGAAACTAATTTTACAAAAATGTTGGAATTTTGAAACTAATTTTGCAGAAGTGCTAAAATTTTTGAAAACTGATCTTGCAAAAGTACTAGATTTTTTAAACTAATTTTGCAAAGCGTTGAAAATTTTGAAAATGATCTTGCAGAAATACTTTGAAACTGATCTTGTAGATGTGTTGGAATTTTGAAACTGATCTTGCAGATGTGCTAGAATTTTGAAACTAACCCGGCAGAAATGCTGAAATTTTGAACTAATTTTTAGAAGTGCTAACAAATTTTAGATTGATCTTGCAGAAGTGCTGAAATTTTGAAATTGATCTTGTAGAAGGTCTTGCATGAATTAATTTTTACAAATCTAATATCAGTTTGAAGTTCTTGCAGATGGTGTCAGTTTGTAGTTTTGGTTGGTTAAGTAACAAGTCTATTGGAGCATGATTGGAATTTTAAAATTTGATCTACTTGTTTTGGCTCCTTGAAATAATTCAAAACTAGTGGGGTCCTATGAATGTATTTTGTGTTTTTGTCTTTAGGTAAAGCTCCCTAATATTTATTAATCAAATTCTTGATCACACTTGCAGGAATAGATCAGCTATCACCTCAAAAGATTTATTTCCAACATTCAATGGTTATGATGTTGCAATCATATATATAAATGATCTCGAATTTCTACATTTGCATCGGCGCATTTATTCTCATTTAGAAAGATCTTAATCATTAGATTAATCTACTAAATGTCAATCATTCCACGTCAACATAATTGTATAAATACAACATAATCATAGAACACAAGAGAACAGTTGCAGGAGATTGGGAAGGATTTGCAAACACAGAGAGAGAGAGAGAGAGAAATGGGCTATGATGCTGCGTAAATGGTTTGATACAATTACTTTGACGTGGACTAATTGAAATTCGGTAGATTAATATAATGGTAAAATCTTGATAAATACAAATGAATACACTGATGCTAAATACAAAGACTCGTGATCCAAATATAAATGGTGGCCACTCAATTCCACCAATCTAATGTAATAGAAATGGGTGACGGCTACAGAATTAAATTGAGGAGTCAACCTTCTTGATTAGATTCAATCGGTGATAGGAAAGTTTGAGATTTCTTTTGTATAAAATGTTTTCATTATAACACATTTGTTAATATTATTTTGTTATTTCTCTAAACACCGTCTGAGGAGGATCAAACCTAGAATAATTTTTCAACACTAGAAAATGAAATGTCATTATTAGACTATCACCATTGTCAAATGTCTATACGCTCTAATTCTACGTAACTATGAGCTTAATCAAGTCGCAGAGAGCAGTATGCCCCATCACTTGCATCCAAGTTTAAATTTCTCTTGTCGTATTTTAGGGCTTCGTTTAGTATAGAATAGTGGGTAAATTACACTTTACACTCTCGTGTTTGGATACATTTACAAACTCATACATTATCTTTTTCCTGGTACAATAGTTGTCTTTCTCACATGCGCAATAGTAAGTTAGTAACTACCAACTACACAAAGAAAAAGTTGGAATTCACATAACAACCAAAGAAAAATTGAATTAAAAGCTAGGGAAGGGAAGGGAATCCGTAGCTTTAGGTTATGTAGCAATGGATGGATAGTTAGTGGTTGTTGGTCTCTATCTATGCCAAATTTCCCAAGTGGAATTGTGGGTAGAGTGAGTTATTGGCATGCCCACTAACACCATGATCACTAGTAAAATTGGATGAATGCTGTGATCCTACATATCCACTATCATGACAATTTGACCTAAGGCACCATCACTATGGGAATTCGGTTCAAAATTCCCTCCAATATATCATGATAACGAGTGTTTTAATTTGAATCGATTTAATCATCAAGACATTTTAGTTTGCGATAGGACTTATTAGAGGCGGATCCGCATAGGAACCTGGGTGGCCATAAGAGCCTCCGAAGGTTGGACAAAAGCTAATGAAGGTCCTTTGGGGACTTGTCGACATTTTTGTGTCCACTAAATGTTCGATAAAATGTATGTCCAGCATATCTTGATAGTAGTCCGCATGCATGATACATCGTCACATTCGGCAAGGGTCTCAACACCACTTGAAAAGTCGTCATCTGTCAGAATGCACGTAGTATGACTCGGCAAAAGATGACATGCGCGCTAAGTGCTCGACAAAATCTTTACACTTGCTCCCTCTGAGGTTAGATTTCTAGATCCGTGACTAAACCTCATCCAATGTACACTACCTTCCATTGCCACCTTAAAAACTCAAATACACATATTCCTCTCACTGGGAAACCATTATACATACATTTGAAGTAGCTATTTGTTATTCTTATCCCAAGCCAATAATTCCTGCACTGTGAATATTCAAACATTCAAATTTTGGGGCGCAGGGAGAGAGGAGTGGGACCAACCGAATCTTAAATTGGTACTATATAATTATGCATGTGCAGGCCAGAAATTAGGGATTGAAATGTTGTTTTAAAATTTTGGTCGACAAACGACAACCAAAGGCCTGTCTATTTTGGGGAGCCGTCTCACCAACAAACCCTGTTGAAAAAATTAAAGGCATTTTGTCTGCGCTCTGTAGTTTTTCCATACCTAATAACTAACATAACACACTCTCGTTTCAAAGCCTCTAGACTTCCCAAAAGTCATCGCATATGGGCTTTTGGTTTTGACCTTCAAAATTTTTGGTGTAGAAGAACCTAGGATAAACAAACATGTCCCTTTCGATTCCTTGTTATGGCGGTTTTATTTTTCTGATAATTATGAGACGGTGATTTAACTAGGTGTTATTTAAACTCAAGATTTATCGACATGTAGTTGTACTATAAAGTCAACAAGTTATAATGAGATGAGTATCTTTATAGATTATACTAAGTTAAATGAAGTTTTTTTTTTTTTGTTTTTTTTTTGGTGTGTGTGTGTGTGTTGGAGATGATAATTTTTACAGGCATACAAGGACATGTTTGCCAGCAAGCAATTTGAACTGCAACTATTTTGATCCTAAGTTCTCGGCGTTTACTAAAATATGGAAAATAGAACTATTTCACTCCTTAACTCTCCTCTGCGTCTACTTACACATGAGGAATTGGTAAGTGCAAGTTTTTCTTAAAATCCGTGATCAAATACCCATAAATAAGTAATCGGATCAACAAGGACTTTCCAATTCATTCATTTTACTATTTCTGTGAAGTGAACCAGCCCTAAAAGAGGAAGTCCTCTTAAGTACATAAGCCCAAAATACGACCGAGCAAAGTTCCAAAACAAACCCAATAGAAAACCTAGACCCGGGTCCATCAAAATCAAAACCTTTTAAAAGGGGAATTGGACTCTTGAATTTAAGAAAAAGCATTATGATGGTCCATGTGGATGCTTATGCAGTCTAAATGTCAGAATTTGTATCAAAACACCATAAATTTGATAATATAATTGGTCTATTCTTTGTCAGCTTAAGCTTTTGGGATTCGTTGTTGTCTATCATGGTATCAAAGCATTGTTTGCAAGAGGTTACGAGTTTCAACACTGCATTCCCTACTTCTTTGTTGTTTGTAGTCTTCATTTGTCTGCTTCTCCATGTGCAAGATAAGAGCGCACGTGTGGTACAGTATCTCATTCCTTGACAAATTAAGCCTTTAGGGTTAGTTGCTCTCTAACAAGCACGACCACACGAACAAGAAGAGTGACAGCGAAAACACTAATAATGTGAGATGAGAATAATTCTTCTATGAGCAAAGGAGGAGGAACCGTGTAAAATTGAAAAATCAAGGGATTATAATCAAAATTTAGGGGTTCGTTTGATATCATTTAGTTTTAGAAAAACTAATGAAAATGATTTGAAAACTTTGAGTTTTAACGATAAAGACAAAATAAAGGGTAAAGTGAATAGTACCAGGATTGACTTTTTAGTGTAAAAATGTGGTTTTTCGTTAAAGTGAACAGTACCGAAAGTTTTTCATTAAAGTACCCTTTAGTTTTTGGGGTTTACATTTTGGGCTTCTGAGCTATGGGGAAAATATATGGTGGAAAGGAGCTATAAGGAAGAGTAGAGAATGATGGTGGGAGAGAAAAACTTGGGAAGAAGAGGAGAAAAGAGGCATAAGCCCCAGAGGAAAAATTACCATTGGCGCTCAAACGAGCTTAAGAAATGACGGCTAATGGTGTAGGGTAGGAGAGAACTTGAGAGACGACAATCTCTCCCTCTATCTCTAACCCCATTCTGGGTCAGAGACTTTAAAATTGCAAGAAACTTTAGATTCGATTGTTAAAAAATGTGCTACAAAAACACTATCAATGAAATACTCAAGCACTACAAAGTTACTACTAAAAGTCCCGAGCTCTGTAGAACTTCAAAGTCCCTCCTCCAAACTCACTCTAAAAGTCTCTCGGGGTTCATAAGTGTGCAAAAAACATTCCCTTCGGTCCGAGGAAAAACTACAAACAAAGGTTCCACTAGTATTCAAGTAAGTAAGATGCCATGAAATGTACACCTTACAAGGTTTGAAGTCTGTACAAGAAATAGTATCACAAGACTTTACATAGTTATGCACTTTCTATAATTTCCTCCTGACTCAATTATTTATATGAATAATATATATAATGACCCAATTATTCATTTGTTTTTTTTTTATTAAACCAGGATATACAAATCACTGGTGGAAAGAGGGTCCTGCAAAATTGGTAGATTATTAGTCTAGTACTATATGCTGCTCAAATCCAGGACTGGATTGGGTAGCTGCATTTGAAAGAGTTCACTCCGCTGATATGAGCAAAGATATCTGAGGAATCAACCAAATCCTCTTCCTCTTTCACAACTACCTGTAACAATATTTACTAATGTGAGATGACCGGTATAAAATGGACAGTAAAATTTTGTAAGGTGACAAGACGCCGAAGATAATATAAATCATAACAGTTTGAGAATTGTTTCTTGCAAGAAAAGGTATGTGTTAAAAGTGTAAGAGGCATTACTTCATCGTCTTCATGACTGCTTCCCACAGGTCGATGGGTCTCTCCAAAGTCATCGTTCTTTGCAAATCTTCCTCGGACTCGAGGTCTGCTGTCAGCAAGTGTTTTGCGGCAGGCATACTGCATATTTGCTTGGACATTAGTGACAGTTTAAACCCTACTCCCTAGTATGAAGCACACGTAGTAACATATATGCACTCATGCAAATATTAGTAAAGGAACATGAACCTTGATTTTCTTGGTGAAGTTCCTCTCATTCCTTTTCTTCATGTACCTGTGGATCTTCTCTTTCCTCTCTTCAACAGAGAGCTTTCCTACTTTAAAATTTGGGTCTTCGGCTATCGAAATCTCAGTTGGTAAAGAAGTAGAGTTCCCAGCCCCACTCACCAGTTGCTGATTCTCAGCACCAAGTGCCTTTTATAGAGGAAAAAGGTGAAAATTACACCCAAAGAAAAATAACATTAGTCCCTTCTAGTGCACAAAAAGGAAAGTACTTCTGTCCTTATTTCGATGCTAAGCATGCTGATATTATTCGGTTAATTTGAATATGATACCGTATTTTCCAGTCTACATGCAGATGATGACAGTCTAAAGAGAACATATAAGCAAGATGGTACTTCGGTAGCTGTGGCCCATACAAGGGTTTACGACACTAAGTTCCCTTCGATGTCTCCTAAATCAGAATTCTAACTCTTTTTCAAATGACTTTAATGGAAAACTAGAGCTCATGAGAGAGACAGGACTAAAATGCAGAGTTTTTTTTTTTTTTTTTTTTTTTTTAAAGAGGGCAGGTTCTTCAAGATCTTCAATTTCAACAACTATTCACCACAATAGTTTGAAAACTCAAAAATCAACTTGATATAGCTAGTTTTAAAAGGATTTAATTTTTCTTTAAACAGACTTCGTTTTCATATAGAAGGAGAAGGGTAAAGAGGCTCCATATACCTCTGCTCTTTTTTCTATATGGTGTATCAAACTTCCTTCTTGATTTAAGTTTGAAACTTTGGAACCACCTTTTTTAATTCAAACATATTAAACTAAACTGTTTGATGTGTTTCTTGTGAGAAATAAAATAGTTATTTCTTAAATTATCTCCCAAGTATCTACCAAGTACTAAAATTTACTAGCAGTGATTAGTACCTGAAGCTCTTCGGGGTTAAAAACCCTCGATAATGAATCTAGACAGAAAAGTCCACCATTGTCTCCTTGATATTCCAAGTCTTGCTGTTGCAATTCAGAAGCCATAAGAATGCTGCTGGTGAAAATTCCAGTGTTGTCAGCAGATAGTGAAGCAGGATTTATAGGCCCAGTAGGCATGTATGGTCCCATAGGAGGACCGAGAAATGAACAAGGAGGAGCAGAAGGGTTCAAAGGAACATAAGAAGGCACTGAAGACAAGCAATCCTCTTCAAAAACTGATGCTAATGGAGCTGTCATAAGAGGTGGTACAGGTTCGTCAGGGTACTGTGAAAATCCCTCAACAACAGAATCTGCTAATGGCATTTGAGGTGGCAATTGAGAGAAATCAAATTGATCTTGCGGGGTTATGAGAAAGGGAGGTACAGAAAAGGATGGTGATGGAGAAAAATCGATGGAAGCTGATATATCATTATCAATTTCCTCTTGGGAATCAAATATTATGGAAAGGTTGCCATTATTGTTGTTGATGGCATCGGTGATAGTGGTTGTGGTGTTATTAACACTGGCGGCAGTGGTGGTGGTGTTGGTGCTTGTGGTGGTTGTTGTGGTGGTGGTGCTAGTAGTTGTGGGGGTTTGGGAAATGCTTGTGTCAGTATGGCCATTGTTATCCTGGTAGGTACTGAACTTGGTTTCTATATCTGGGGGCAGCGAAAGGTTTGTTACGAAGGATGAATTTTCTTCGTAGCAGCAATTTGGAGAAGAAGTGACCTCGGAATTTTGTAGGGTCTCTTGGAATAGTTCCGGGTCACAAAATTCGAATATTTGAGAGCTAATCTGGCTGGAAATTTCATTCTGCAAGCAAAACATAATAGAGCAATGTTAAAAATTATGATTATCTGACAAAAATCCATACAAAAAATAAAAAATAAAAATAAAAACCATGTCATAGTGCAATAATAAAACCTTTTGCTTAGGATCATCATTCTTCATATTTTTAATCCAATAATTTTAACTTATCTTAGTACAGTAAATATATATCAACCTGCATCAGAGTAGGACTTTTCCTCACCCCCTCACTCGGATTTTTTCTTTCGATATGCATGAAGCAAGCATGTAAAAAGTTAAAAATAAATAGAAAGAATCGGAGAGTTTTCCAAGTTTTTTTATATGGTTTCCACAGACCAACCTTCCATGTATATGTGTGATTCATTAAGCACATAAGTGCTCAAAAGAAGGATGGTTTGGTGGTGGATTTTTGTGTGCAAAGTAGAAAAAGATGTGCATTTGTACTCCATGTGACATGTAGGAAGAAAGTTACCCAATTGCAGCTAGAAACTAAAGGAGCAAACTAAGAAGGAAGCTCTTGGTATGTAAGTTTTGTTCAGTTTATAGAAACAACTCGGTCCGAACAAACAATTGGAATTTAAAAGCACTTGGAGGAAAAGAAGCAATTATGTTATCCATGTGAAATGCTTGTCACACTAAGGCAGTCCTTTAACCATCTAAATGCAAAAGAATCAAGATTAGAAAAGCTTTTAGGAGAAGCATAAAGAGCTAAATATTCCCATTCAACTCCAATAGGAAAGTGGGAAATAACTAGTAAGCAACCCTAAGACAATGACAATTTTGTGGGTATATTGGCAACAAAGGTTGAAATAACCATCTACAAAAAAAAAAAAATGGTTGAAATGCCTTGACCCCACAAATTATTTGGGGAATAAAACTCTAGAAGCAAGTCCATATCGATAATATAAACGTATGGTATCAAAGTTTTGTATTTGCTTTGCTTGTATTCCAACTAGTTGCTGTAAAAGTCAGAAGTACAAGAGATGGTGATGAATTCTGTGATTTTTGGAGATGTCGAAATCAAATACAAGACATTCAAATTTGAATAATCGAAAATGCATACGCGACTGGGGAAGATAGAGATGCGAAAGGGATTGAGCAAAATGATGGTTACAGCACATAGCAGAAATCCCAGAAAGAGGTGAAAGTGAAAGGGAAGGGATATGAAAATTCCTTGCTGCTTGACTCCTCAACCAATTGGACCAAGAAATTTTGACCCAAACCATCTAAGAACATCAACATTGAACCCAGCAAAGCATAAAAAAACATGTAAGGAATTAAAGAACAAATTGATTCGCATGCAATTATCTTATAATCTAGGACTAATTCTGAAAACCCCATTTGTAGAAACACACTAATTTGCAGATTAAATGTTAAAAATTTAAGAAATACTTAAATCTCTAACTAATTCCCAAGAACCCAATTGCAGAAACACACTAATTTTGAAGATGAAATGGTAAAATCTTAAGAAATATTTCATCTTTAGACTAATTCCCAAGAACGCATTTGCAGAAACACACCAATTTGCAGATTAAACACACACACATATATTTATGTATCACCATAAGACTAATTCTGAAGAATCCATTTCCGCAAACACATTAATATGCAGATTATACACAAAATACATGCATATGAACACCATTATGAATCAGAAATCACAATATGAATGCATGCATGCATGAACAGAGAATGAGATTAAAAAATGGGATTTGACCTGCTCCTGCTGCTGCTGCTGCTGCTGAATCACATGCTGCAACATGATTTCCAAATCTCTCTCTCTAGGCTTCGAAAGCTTAATCGATATTGGTTCGGTTGCTTAATTAAAAATTAGCAAGAATCAATGAGAGAAATACTGTAGTAATAGTAATGCATTAATCAATATTTACATGCATAATTTGCTCCTCCTCAGACGGACCCGCGTATTATTTTCTGTGATCTCGATGGGATCAAACTATATACAGAAGGAGGAGCCAATGCAAAAAAAGTGCAAAACACAAAACAGATTAATTAAAAATTAAATTATTTTTTTCTTTCAAAAAAGCTAATTAATCAGCTAACAATATCAAAAACCAATTTACAGACAGACAGACAGACAGGATAACGACAGAAGAAAAATTAATAGGGAAGGAAGGAAGAGAAAAACAGAGAGAAAGAGAGAGAGAGGAGGAGGAGGAGGTATAATGGAGAGAGAAATAGGAGAGAGAGAGTCAGCTAAGAAAATGGAGGGTGTGGGGTGGCTGGAAACTTAAGTTATAAACTGAAATATATAACGATAGGGATGTGTCCGTACTTAGCCGTCAAGGCTGGCACTGGTCAACCCGAGCGTCGCGGGGGATCGCAAGTTTCTGAGTCCATACGTGCCGTTGCACTCTGGGAGAACACAACTGAAGGAGACATGACACGTGGCCAATCGGACAATGCTTCGGAAACTAAATTTTATAAACAAATGATATGACTATTGATAATTAAATTATTGCTTAAATGCTGATTAACGTGCTTATTTTTATTAACGTCATATTTGCATATTTGATTCAGAAATTTGGTGTTCCTACAATTATCTTTTCGTTTTAGCAGGTTTTGGTTTTCTGAGAACTTCCTTATCTCGCAACAGTTAGAGCAGAATTTGGTTGACCAAGCCCTTTTGCCTTTTGCGCGATTCTTTGAAATGTTTTTTTGGTAAGTCCCGATTCTTTGAAAGATTTGTTGAGATAATGAAACGATGATGAAAATGGCAAACTTTGCTTCTCTTTTTGCTTTCTTTTCTGTTTTCTTTTTGGCGTATTTTATGGTTGAAATTCCTTGAATAACCCTTTATGGGTGGAATTGTTGTGTTGTGCAACTTTTGGGTTTAGATGCGAGCAAAGGGCTGATTTAGTAAAATAATAATATTGGATTAACTCGGATTTTGAAATGTTACTAACAGCTCCGTAATATAATGAAAGATTACACAATTTTATTGATGGGTGAGTTTTAGATGTAATTTTCTAGTTACGTTTGTGTGTTGGGTTACACAAACGTATCATGAGTTGTATGTTGATCTTATCAAATAATCAACTAGGAAGTTAGGATGAGGAAGATGACAAAATTAAATACAATATTGACGTTACTATGTGCTCAAGTAGCAAAATCATCACATATCGTGTTGGCTTGAATGAAAATATGAGTAGTATAATAAAACATTTGCTTCAATAAATGTTAAATAATCTAGAAGATGATTGATATTTGCCACAAGATCTGAATCTTTTTGTAAATTGTGTGTCAGCCTCCTTCAATATCAACGGAATCGGATCTCCTCTGGACTCAAAAAACTAAGCCTAAGGATTAAAAGATCCGAACCGTTGAAATTTGATCAAACGGCTACAATTATTATAATTTTTAAAAGGCCCCCTGTTTGTAGCTGTTTGATCAAATTTCAATGGTTCGTATCCCTTGCTCAGAAAGCTCAGTTTACTTGGGTCTGGAGGGGATCTGGTTCCAATATCAACCTCATGAAATGACATAAAATTGTTTTCATTAGAATACAATACAGTAATTCCTCTATTGTATAGACAGTTAATCATGAGCAGAAGTTGGACCCTAAAGATTAAGAAAGACAATGAAAATGATTAGGAATATTAGTTAATCAATGGTGGATTATGGAATATAATGAATGGTAGATTATTGGAATTAAGACTAATAGTAATTTGGGAATTATACCCAATGGATAAGGATGAAAGTTAATTATGCCCAAATTTGTGAAAAACAGAAGAGTGTTCATTGAACTAGCTTGAAAGGAAATAAAAGTAACGCCTAGGGTGCTAGGCGGGTAATTAAGTCGGAGTGACTCACTTGATCGTTTCGAAGTGCTTTTAAATCTCATTTTATACTTGGGTAATGCTATTTATACTATGTTTTTATACTATATTTATATACCACCTTAGGTGGCATCTGATGTGGACAGAGCCACATCATTTGAAAAATTTGCAAAACCCAAAGGAAGGAAGGAGAAAGACTTCTCGTATACCACAATCATCATTTAATTAACTAGTTTTTCTTAAGTATTAGTTTATTAAATAATGAACTAAATTTAAAAATATGATTAATTCAAATGATGTGTTGTCCACATCAAACGTCATCTAAGGTGGTATGAAAATGTGGTACAAAAACATGGTATGAATAGGGAGAATATGCATTCATCTTAAATTTAAGGTTAGACAAGTTTAGGGTTTAGGAAATCAAGTAAGATGAGGCGCTTCAGAAAATTTGAGATCTTTTTAAGAACTAGGATTTTCTTCCCTCCTCTTTCCATCCCCTCCTCTCACATTCTCTTGCTATAAAAAAAAGTTAAAATAGGGTGTGGACGTGGCTTAACCGTAACCATTCAAATAGGAGGGGAAAGAAAAAAAAAGGGGAGAGAATTCTACTCCCTGTTTCAATGACACTAATTATTAGATGACTCTTAATTTGGTTCATTTTCTGTAAATTTTTTTTCTTTTCTCCTTGAGTGAACTAATCTAAAACTCATTTATGCTAACATAATATATGCAACTAAGAAAAAAACGTTTATAGCGCAAGAGATGAATTTATATATTACAAACCATATGTCCATATCATATGGACTTTTTGGCCCTCGCGTAATAAAGCATACCATTGACAATGTATGCACTTATATTTCTTATGCTAGACACAAAATTAACTTGTTTGTTGACACACTCTTTAATGTAAATGAACTCACATATGATATGGTGTATCTTTATTAGAAAGTGCATTAGCAAGTGCATATTATAATTATTGGTGTCCAAATAGTTTTGGGATTTTTTAAACCTTGAATATGGAATGAAGCATTTTCATTTTGGTCATGTCATCATCATATATATCATCACGAAACATACATATATAGAGCACAAAATTAACCATCTTATAAATGAAGAGTGAGTTATCCACACACATCTTTTTACTTCTCACACATTCCTTGTTAAATTTTATCTTTTGATCTTCTTATTCAGTTGATCTGACAGCCGCAAATTAAGAGGATGCGTATGAAGTAAAAAAACCTAAATGAACATAGCGAGCACTCTTGAAAGTAAAAGGTATGTGGTATCCACACCTCCACCTTTCTATTCCAAAGTCAGTGCAAAGGCCAAACCAACTCCACGAGCACCTAAAAATAGTCTTTATGTATACCAAGTTCATCAATTTAAATGTATAATTTTTCTCTTTTAAATTTCATACAAACAGGCACAAAACATGCCTCATGCACATGTTTAACAAAAGTGGGATCAATCCCCTTCCTCAATTTATCTTTTCATCACGTTAATGTGGGTCGACAATGAATGTTAATTATGCTGTTCTCTGTTTTTTTTTCATCCTCTAGAGCTCCCCATTTTCTGGATTTGGCAAAAATTCTACAGCATGAAGTGATTTGGTTGTCTCATATATTTTTGGATTGGTATAGATTTTCTTCGGAATCTAAGATTTTGTTTTTGATATTTTCACGATGCGTTACATACTGTCGCAACTCTCACCGGAAACATTTGAAATAAATTCTCTGTTGAAGGGATCGAAGGAGTACTGTGAGCACTCACTTCACTTTCACATTGTTTTGCAAATATTATGCAAAGATTCCACATACCATGGCCAGTTAGCAATAGCTATACCAGTCTATGTACCATAGCTTTGGAATGAAATGATTCACCAGCTCATCTGTTGGGATTGTGCGATTCGATCGTTATGAGCAAGCCGTGAGTGTAATGGAGTTCTATGAGCGTGCGCCGGTGTGCCTCACTCGGCCAGCATGTAAATGAATACTTGGATTGCGTATCACGTACTTTTCGTCGTGAAACATGCACGTCTCTTTCTTATACAGCTTTACAACGCTGCTCTTAATAATTGATCATGCAACCAAGCATGAGGCGGTTTAACATGTGTGAGGGTTCCTGTTTACAAACGGTGTGCCTAAGAATTTCTCCATTCGGCGTTCAGACTAACTAAAATACTAGCTATTTAACGACATCATTCCTGAACAGTTGGAGTGATTCTTACTCATCATCTTCATCATCCGACAAGCCAATACACTCAGAGTGATCGACTAGTTTCACTCGAAGGGCTTTTTATTAGTCAAGGTTCTAACGTGGAATCAATATCTTGTAATCTAACATATAATTTTGATTGTCCTCCAAAATTCCAAATCCGAGATATTAAGCATGCTGGAGCCATATTTCTTCACAAATCACTGAATGGTTCTACTTGTAAATTCTTATACTGATTATTCATCATGTCATGTTTCGGAGGAATCCTAACTACTAAAACTGGAAAACAAGGGCATCTATTTTTCACACCTTGGAATGACTTTGTTTATCTGTTCTGAGATAAATGGCCCTTCAAGTTCAAATTTGAAAAATTCCATGCAATTATTCTTGGAAGTGCAATATACTATCCCAGGAAGTTCTGAATTTTTATTTGGGAATCAATTTATCTGTCCTGTACCATTTTAGCCATACAATCTGCCATTTGGATCTTTGAAGCAAACACGAATACGATCACGATCATCAACCTTCGGACCCAATGTCTGAGTACTTGTCTCGCTTTTTGATGCAGACGACGTATACTTTTTGGTACCTAGCTACATTTCACATATTCTTGACATGTCTCTATAAATATTTTTCCAAACTTAAGCAAAGCCTACCTAGCTAGCTACTGATATAAAATAAAGCTGTTTCTGAAAGCGAATATACTCTATATTTCAGTCCCCCAAAGCAATAGGTTCCTCTATTTCCCCTTACACAAATTCAAATTTTATATCGTTATGGGCAGTAGGCGGTACATGAATCGAGTTATAATGCTAATCATCACAGATTGTATACCTTCAGAGGTTTAAAACTTTCATTAGCAACCTATATATTTCTCACTGATATTTTGGATGAATACCGATATTACAGAACCTTTTATTTTCGTTTTTCGGTCTTTATTTAGACATTCTCCTTCAATCTTCTCATCTCTTTTAATAACTATTTTGCAATATTGTTTGACGCTCAAAATATTATATTTTACAGGCCACTATCAATTGCAAGAAATCAATCAAATCAAAAGTTGTTAAATCCTTCCATTAATGTTGTCATAATTTCAGTGTCTAATTGAAAACAAATGGTTCTTAGCGATTTTAGTTTTAATTAATTTTTTGTAATAATAGTTTTAAAGGATGAGCTAGAAATTAGGTGATTTGAATCATCACGCAATGTTGCAGAATGAAAAGCGAACCT